AGAAAGTCCATGGGTAAAAAGTAGAATAACCCTTGTGTAGATGGAAAAGTGTGACCACAGAAGCTACAACAATGACAGTCAGTTACCCCTGGGACCCAACACGATGGAAATGTTACTGATGAGCTCAATGAGTCTGATGCTAGGTAGAATAAGTTGGAAAGTATGAATTAAAAGGTGGAGAACAAGGGACTAAGACGAGGTACAATGGTGGAAGGTCAGGTTTGGGACAATGTAGAAACAAAGTATGAAATCAAGGATTGATGATGAGCAGCCTCAGTCCATGATTCAATCAAATCAGGAATATCTCCAAACTTCAGGGCAAAAAAAAAGGGCTGGTGAAGGGCTCATATAGGGGGAAGAAAGAAGTCAAATTTGGAATAGGAGAGTATCCTTACCCAACAATCCCCAGTGTTATGTATTAGAATTTCAAATAGCCCAAAGCCGAGTTAACTGATAATTTAAATTTAGTAGTTAAATTGTACTTTGGATTTAGCATTTAAATATGTGTCTGATATATTAGTCAATTTACGATATTTGCCAACAAGATTGATACACACCGTCTTCGTTTTTAACAAAAATACATCTTAATATACACCCAACAATACAATTATCAGTAACAATTATTACAAATAGTTATTACAAACAAAGATTTATAAACAAAAGTTTCACAAACTTACAAACAATATAAAATCTTCTTTCTAGCTTGGAACTCTCTTGATATCTTATCAAGGATTTACGATGAGCGAGTTAATTACGAGTTGATGCAAGTACGATTCGCCGGGAAGCAAGCTAGCTTTGTCCTTGACCACACATACTAGGTTTTCCACCATTGAAGTTATGTAATGTTTTCATAAAAATATTAATGTCCGATGAGAATCCACTGAAGTTAGACAATTTGTAATGTTCAAAATATTCATGGTCAAATATCTTAAGTTTTTCCAATTGATAAGCATTATAAAAATCACAGTTATAGCTTTTGAAGTTTGTAGCACACTGATTATAATGAAATACTAATAAACACTTCTTTTGGCATGGCACGTTGGTTGTATTTATTGGTGTGGGATGGTTTTCTAGAAAATTCAGATTACATAACAATACTGAGCTATATTTAAATGTTTACGTATATAGATATATTGTTGATTCTTACTCTCAAGAATCTTCTACAACTTTGGAGAATAGGTGGGAGTTTTGCAATACATAGCTAACACTACAAGCTATGCATGTTTTTAAATATAAACTTAATCTAAACAACATTGATATTAAAATAAATACATAACAAATTTGTTTCACCAGTAAAAAAAGAGGCAAGTGAGCATGGAATGGTAGAAATGGAATGGCCATAATGGAAAGGTGAAGAGAACAAGAATCACCCACAAATTTCTCTGGGGCACAGTGGAGTGCCTCAGACTTGAGGTGTAGAGAAGAGAGATAAAGAAGTGTGGTAAAAAGGATCTGGCAAAAACAGCAGTATTGGGTACTGGATGGCAAAACCAATGCCAAATAGTCCACTCCTCCCCCCAACAAGCAAGGGCAGTCTTAAACGTGAGAATTGCGAAAGGGGATACAGAATTACTAAAATTGAGGAAATAAGAATCAAATAGATGGGGAAAACTATGCTTGAGGATGTGGAAATATAGGTGGTCCAGGAATGGTAAATGAAAGGAGTTAGAGTTATGATTAAGAAGTCGGAAATAAGAAGAATAGTGCATACCTGAGAATGGAAGAAAGTTTAATGATTCTCTTTAATATGAAGAGAAGTTCCCAAATCATAACCAGGTGAAGGAACAATCAAATTCATTCTCCTCATTCTCTCCACAAAATTAGGGAAAGAAACACCTGAAGAAGGGATTGGAGCTGAAGGTCCTGTCTGCATAAGGGAACCCATTACCCTATTCACAATGGCTGCCACATCATCTCCAAGGAACATACCTCCATAAGCCATAATTGTTACATAACCTGTGTGAAGAAATTAGTCACACACACACGAGTAGTAGAAGACGTTACATGAACTAGTGTGTTCATAATTCGAAGTCAAAAAAGAAGGAAGTTCCCTAAACATTGCAAGTCTTCTTACATTGACAAAGAAAAAACATGTTTGACGTGTTTAGTGCCAAAAAAAAAGAATGGAAATTCATGGGTAAAAAAAAAACATCTATGGAGTTAGTATGCAGGGAGGTTGTGTGGCTCTCCTACTGGTGGAGGGCTTTTACTACATAATAATGTCATTATGCAATAACATAATTCACGAGATAACTTGTGAGATTAGGTGGTAGCTGCTTAAAGGCTAGTGGCATGCAAGTCTCTAAGGCAGATGCATGAGGAAGATAGCTTTCTGCGTGAAGAGGTGAGTATCACCTAGGAAATTACAAAGTAGGTCACAAAGGTGTTTTACGGGATTTAGATCCAGTGGCATACATAGTGTCAAGTAGGTCCAAGAAGTGTTTTATGGGATTTGGATCCACTGGCATACTGTGTGTATAATTGCATAGATTTACATGGCAACATGTACTGTTATGTATCACACAACCATGATACTACCAGGGTAAGATAAAAACTTAGTCACATTCTAGAAACTTTGAATTTTTAAATTGCAATCACATTTAGTCCTGTAGAATGTGGTAAAACTTGTATGTAAATCAATTTATTACTGAAATTTTCTGTTTTAAGCAAAGTAACTATCTAAATAGTTATGATCCTGAAATACTATTTTCTTTGCTTGGGTTCAAACCTGAGAACTCTCACATGCTAAGCAAGTGTTATACCACTGAGATAAAGGCTTAATCCACTAGTCCTTGCTGGAAGGGCTTTCTGACAACTAACTCAACGTACCTCAATGTTTCTGAGACAAACTCCATGTTCAAAGACTTCAGACAAGTTTTTTCATAAACTTCATTAGGCTAATCTAACAGGAAAGTTAATAAAAGTAAATTTTGACAACTATAAGTATCATATCTGTGTTTAAAATTACTTCTTAGCAACTAAATCCAAATGATGAAAAGGTTAAAGCTGTAAAAGACTAAAGAATTGTAAGAAATTAACTCTTTCAGCACAGGCTCAATCCTTGGGACCAACCTCATAACCATTTTGTGCTTGTTATAGTTTTCATGCTATAACTTTTAAGTTTGTAAGCATATGTTAACAAAATCTGGCAGATCATCAGTAAACATTATAATGCTTACAAACACAAAATATCATTTTTTTATATTAAGTCTTAAGGTTTGTAAAGTAATGATTTTCTCATGCCTTTTTTTTTTTTGTCATGTTGCCTATTCAACATGCAAAGTATTTGACACTTACAAACATTCAAACATTTCCATAAACGTCTTTGATATTCTTTGTGGCTACAGAGGCATTGTTTCCCTTCTTGTATTCAAACAGCATTACATGCCAAATGTGTGTCTCATTGTGTGCCATCACAATAAGGGATTAGAGAGTATACAAAACTTTACACATTATATAGGCTACACTAACATGACATTTGGGCAGTTCATTTAACTATTATACGTGATGTGTTTTTTGGGGGGTGGTTAATGAAAGTGTTCCAAAATGCGACATTAATTTCTTGATGACCTAATACTATCTGCAATGCCCATGTGCTATAGTATTATAATCTTTACAAAGCCAATAGTAAATTTTTCATTATGCTACCTATTAGGATCAGTCCTATCTAATACTGAAATCTTTATAGGTTGCAACTATCAACATATCTTAGGAAATTTCTAATTGTTTTCAGCTAATCTATTATATAATCTCTTTAAAATCCTTCCAAATTATTTCTAATTATTTTTATTTCATTTATTATGTTAATAAATTCTCTACAATCCTTCCAAGTAATATATTATTTCTAATTATCTTCAGTTCATTTATTATATTAATAAATTCTTTAAAATGCTTCCAAGTAACATTTTTGAGGAAGATCTCCATACTGTCTGGGACTGCATGTCTACCAACAGCATTAGCACCATGATATCACTATGTACCCAAATTAATGAAACCTAAAGAAATAAGGTATTTGGACATTCTACATCATAGTGCTTTGCTATGTAACATAGTATAAACTTACCCAGTACACTAAGATGTCTTTTGATATTCCGTAAAAAAGAAGCACTGAACAATGAGAGTTGAATATTTTCTGGTAGTGAGAACTGCTGACGAATCCCTCCTACTGAAAGGGTGGTTGAAGCACAAGTATACTGGAAGAGTTATTAAATACATCACTACAGAACAAGTTCTACTGGAATATATGTCAAACAGATATTAGATATAAATTTTATTTATCATGTGAATGAAATTTGTCAAGATTTTGAAAACAAAAATCAAAACGTGATACATATGTATGTAAAATCAAAAATTTCAGTGACTAAGTAGGACTTAAACCTTGAATCACACAGTCTATAATCATATTTAAATGACATCTACCATGTATTTGCCAAAACACCAAATAACCCAAATCCTTTTGTAAAGTGTGAGCATCCTCCTCACAGCCAGAAACATCCCAAACCCTAATATCATCAGCAAATTTAATTAATTTATTGACTATTCAATCAATTATTTCATTGATGTAAATCAAAAAGAGCAAAAGTCTTAACACTAAGCCTTGGGGTACCCCACTTGTGACATTAATCTTGTCTGATTAAACTACATTTACAAATAACCACCTGCTTTCTTCTTCCAGCCACTTTTCAGTTCAGTGAGTCATCCTCTCCTCCACATCTACTAGTGTAATATTAATAACATTAGGCAACTTACAAAATTCTGGCACCAACCCATTCTTCAATAACTCACAAAAAATGGCAACAAATGAATTTGGATAACTCTTATTTTAATAGCCATAATAATATTAACATTGCAGACCACAAAGGATCATTTGATCCTACAGAAAATCAAATTTTTTGCATCCACATTTTATTTTTCATGGAATCATCAATTCCTTCTTAAACTCCTGTAAAGTGCTGGTCTTCACTATTGCTGATGCCGACTCATTCTGTAAGCCAATTATCCAGTTAGTAAAATAAAACTGCTTTAAATAAAGCATAACCTATTTTCCACACCTTAAAGTTGTATCTCTCATCTTGTTGCTTCAGAACATAGCACAAAGAAATTCCAGCCTGCTGGGTTCTCCATAGGATTCAAAACTTGGGTGAAATACCCTTAGGTGTTAAATTGTGAGTGTGGAACTTTAAAATCTGAATGTGAAAACTTAAATTATTAGAATGAAAAAATGTAATACCAATAGATACTTACTCTCTCCTCACATAATGGCTTTTCTCTTCCAATGCTGCCTTCTATATGCACACATTTTTTATTTACCACTAGCCTCGATACTCCCACCTACCCCACATATTTAACATGGTACAGCTACACTGTATCATGCAAATAAACATGCAACAACCCTCCACCAATAGGAGTATAACATACCCTCCTGGCACAGTTGGTTCCCTCTGTACTGTAGAACCCAATCCTCACTTCAATGTTAAGCAAAAAAGAAGCACCAAAAATGGGAAGGAAAGGTGGGAAGTGTGGGAAGAGGAAAGTGTCTATCAGAAATACATTTTCAGTTTAGAAAAATTATAACTTCTGGTACAATACCTTACCTCTTCTCACATAATAGCTAGAATCCCATATTGACCTGGTAGAGGAACCAGTGCAAAATTTACATAGATGAGCATCCTTCCGAAAGTGACCGAAGAGAGCCCGTGGAGTGTGACATATGTTCTGTAGAGGAACACACCCATGGGAGACCACACCGCATGTGAACCAGGTATACCCTTTACTTGTCACAAAAATGTGTGTCACTAAATCAGGTAGAAAAGGAGCACATCCACTAAGAATTGGATACACCAAATGGTGTAGAGTGGCTATGGCATGTCAGACTGTAATCAGTTGGTCAACTCCAGTCCAAAACCAGGCAGCATTGGGTATTTGTCTTCCATTCCATGGTAGAAGGAAGGATCCAATCATTTTCATCTCTAGCTTAGGAAGCAGAAGGGAAAACAATGTCCATTTCAACTACCCAAGCAGGGTACACATGTGCAAACCCAGTACACAACCAAACCAAAATCAGATCAACCAGGAACTGACATCCAAGCAATGGTAGGAAGGATGAATGCAATGTGGTGGTTCACTAAAATCTAAAGCCAGGCAGAATTGGGAATTTATCAGTCCATGGTAGGATGAGGGCTCCCTACCAGCCACATGCATGAGGACTTATGTTGGCTGGGCCAGTTCCAATCCAACACCAGACCACATGGAAAGTCTCATTCAGGCAGGGGTAGGATGAGGGACCCCAGGTGGAGGGATGAACTGTATTTTATTGGATCATTTTCAGTCCATAACCAGACAGTGTCAGGAATTTTACATCCACTTCACAGTAGGAGGAGGGTTCACACCATCTACACTGACAGAACACCACTGCCCTACTCTCAACTGAAATGGGATTGGGCACACTCAGGAAGAGTATTCCTTTTTCATCACCCCAGTGGCTAGTAGCTTCTACATGACAAGGACTCCCATACTCCACACAAAGAGGGAGAACAATGTGATGTGGAGTATGGAGAGATGCAAAACTACAGAAAATGAAACCCTAATTTTAAAAGCAGGCCAGTCCCAGTTTATTCAACTAGGATTGGAGGGATGAGCAGCTATACTGTACAGGATAAACCATGAGTTGGTACAGTCTGGGACAGACATAGTGATGATGCAAAATACCACAAGGATGAACCTACTAGTGATCTTGTGGAACATCCCCTCTCAACAGTGCAGGTTTATAGAATAGTATACCTGGCCAGGCACCACTTGCCACAGAGCAGGATCCAACATGTACATTAGTGACCCTGGAATGTAAATAAAGAAATACAAATTTACCCACTCACAGTTGAACCAAAGTGTGTATAATGGCAACAGGTAGAATTTGACATCTACAGGAAAAGGGGACAATAATATGATGAAGGTAATGGCAGATGAATGCATTAGGTGTGGTCCACATGCCAGCCCAAATGATTTCATCTAATGTAAGATGAAAATGGGCAGTTAAGTAAAGGGAGAGGTGCCAGATCTGATAAGAGGACATTTGGAAAAGATGTTGGGAATCAGAAGACAAGGAAGAATAAGCCAATCTGATAAGCTGGCAAATCCATCCCATAAGGGTGGTAGGGGAAATATCACAGAGAGAGGAAGGGTTCCAATAGATAAACAAATGGGAATGGAAACCACAGAAAAAAACATTGCAGGCAATATAACATCATGAAGCATGAATAGGACAGAGTAGATAATCTAGATCAGGGTGGGAATATAAATAGGAAATGGAAGGTAGGGAAATAGGGGCAAATGTGATGTCAAATTCACCAGCTGCCAAAGTCTTGTGGAAAAAATTTCAATCCAGATACAGGAGATGGTGATAAAAGACATGTGATACATTGAGGGCAAAATCATCCGACCTACAATTACCACAGGCAAAAAGGAGCAAAATATAGGTCTTGAAGGGACAAATGTTTCAGAAAACAGGTGACCAAGGATTCAAAAGGAGGTTGGATAAGGGCATGGAGAACAACAGTGAGGTTCCAATCAGGAAGGGACAAAGGATGAGGAGGAGAAAGGAGACAAAAGGAATGAAACAGAAGGTATTGGACAAGGTTGCCATGTAGGCAGTGATAGAAATGGAAAAACCAGTGTCAACCAGTCATGTAAAAAAATCAGACAAATAAGGGAGGTAACCATGGTGCAGAGACCTCCTGCAAAATACATGTCATTTTCTCTGATACACCAATAAGGAGGAAAAAGGGACAGAATGGAAAAGAATAGAAGCTACCGATGTGGAGAGTCAAGACCGCTTTGCAAGGGGCTGGACAAACACTACACATGAATTCAGAGTGTGGTGATGTTGGGATGATACACCAGCAACTGAAGTTGTCAAAGGAGGGAGGGGATAGCGGGATTGATATCAAAGGTGCTGACTGAAGGAGGGTAAGAACAAGAACACAAGGTTGAGCAGGCCAAAAAGATGTAACAAGAAGGGCCTGACACAAGGCAGGAGATGGATAGGAAGATAGGCATACAGGTAAAGGTGTGACAAATTGTGACTGAAGGTGTCCACTGCTAAAGCCAAAAGAAGTGGGGCTGGAGACCAAAAAAAAGGGGTAGCTTGGCATTGAGATTGGTGGCAAATGCAACCAAAACACCTGAGGATTGGGGGAACACTCTGTGGGAGAACCTTGTTGGGATGAGACAATCAATCCACAAAAAGATTTAGAGCACCTGGAACATGACACACCAGAAGAGGGGTCATAACATCCAGAAACAAAGTTAACATGAAAAAGTGTCCCCTTGTTGATTGATATATGAGGCAATGGTTGATTTGTTGGAAAGGATCATGACCACTTTGTCTTGTATTAAAGGCAGGAAATTATCTAGGGGCCAACAAATGGTAACAAGCTCCAGCATATTGATGTACATAGTCACCTTGACCAAAGACCCATGATTTCCTGTGTATCCAGAAATGCTCCCCTACCCATCAAAGAAGCATCCATAAAAAGATGCAACTCCAGACTGGGAAACAGAAGAGAAACACCCATCAAGAGGTTGTCTCTGTTGAGTTTCCAGGCTAAATCAACATTCATGGAGGGAGGAAGAAGGAGAACAGAGTCCTGGGGATCCCAAGCAAGATTTCACTGATTGTGCAACACCCACTGAAGGGTGTGCATATGAGTACAACCTAAGGGAATGAGGGTTTCCATGGAAGCCCAAGTCCCTAGAAGAGAAAGAACCTCATATGTTCTAAGAAAAGGAGAGAATTGAGCCTTGAAAACTATTAACTCCATTGCCCACAAAGGAAGTGAAGAAGGCTGGGCCCAACTGAGACAGAAGATGAAAAACACACCCAAGAAGAAGAATGGATTTCTCCAACTTGACAAGCAAACCTTCTTATCACCTTCTTATTCACATTCACCAGGAAAAAGAATATGTGGTCTGGGATCAGGAGACACCCCAGACCACATGATGGACTCCAGTTTATGATGTACTAAAACCAAGACCTTCTCAGCTGAAAGTGTGGAGCCTGAAGGCTGAGATACTACAGGTTGAGGTGCATTAGTAGTGTTAACTACTGTGGTAGTAACAGTGATTTGAAATTTGGAATTCATAACTCAACTGAGAGTGGATAACGAAAGTAACAACCTACAGTAACTCAAACAAAAGCAGAAACAGCAAAGTTGTTGGAAAAAAATTGAAAGCAAACATGAGCGAAATTTGAACATACCTTTATACTACTGTGCCAAATCAAGAAGTAAAGGTTAGGTTCTACAGTATAGAAGGGGCCAGTCGTGTCAGGAGGGTATGGGACATTCCTATTGGTGGAGGGTTGTTGATGTTTATTTGCATGCTACAGCACAGCTGTACCATATTAAGCATGTGGGGTAGGTGGGAGTATCAAGGCTAGTAGCAATCAAATAATTTTTACATATAGAAGGCAGGACTGAATGAGAAAAGCTATTATGTGAGTGGATGTAAGGTATCGTACTAGAATTAGTACCAATGTCCTCTGTAACAACTGCTCCTTGCCTTCATATCTTGTTAGTTTGTGAATTTGTGATGGGGTGAAAATGAAGAAAATGTTGACAGTGTGATGTACTTCAACAACTACCAACTTTGAAACTGTTAAAAGTATTCAGTTTTGATCACTTTAAAATAACTATGTGGTTTAATTATTTAATAATTATAAGTCTTAGTTGACATTCTTTAGCCTAACAATCAGGCTGACTACCAATTAACTTTTGTATTCAAAGGTGTAACAAATAACAGCTCCTGATGAATTATTGACCACCTTACAAACAAGCTACTCGATAATCTGATTAAAGTAATATTTCTTTTGACTGCAAATGATGTAGGTGTGATGGCTACACTAAACACACATGACCAATTAAGAGGTCATCTATTGAACAGCTCACCCTCAAATATGCAAATTAGTTCAAAAGCACTCATATTTCATTGATAGTTGCATGATTGAGGTCTCCTCACAGACAGGAAACCATCTGACATCCATGAATTCAACTAGTTTTAGATGGATCAAACTAATTTTGTAATGTATACTATGAACATTGACATAACAGAAAATTATTCTTAGGACATAATATTGATTTTTTGTTTTTTCACCCATGCAAATCAAAATTTCTGTGTGTGAAGACAATTTTTGTGCATAAAGGTAAATGTATTTGAAATCAGCAGTTATTCTTAGAACACAATATTATTTTTTTTCTTTACCCATGCAAACCAAAATTTCTGTATGACACAATTTTTATGAATAAATTTTGAAATGTGTTTGTGAAATACTCAAGGTTCTAGGTTATTAAGAACGATGATAGGGATAGAGCCTTATCTTATTAATCACCCCATTGGATATTATTGTAAATTTTGACAAGATTATCCTTACCTTTCTCAAGAGAAAACAAGTTTAGCTTTTAACCTATCCCTATAAGATAACCTTTCCATCCTCAAAACCATTTTAGCAACCCTCCTCTGAACCTTCTCCAATAAGTCAATATCCTTTCTTAGATAAGGAGACTAAAACTGTATACAACATTCTGAGACCTAACTAGTGATTTGTATAATGAGCTAATTACCTTGCTTTAGAGAAAGTTTATAAAGAAAAGAGTGTACTTGAAAGGCATTGTTAATGGACTGCATCTACCTAAGAAGTTTTCTGGATTGCATTTGAGCTGTTAGCAGATGAAGACAGCTTGAAACATTGTCCAAAAACATCCGAGATAGATGCAGTCTATTAACAATGCTTTTCAAGCTATCCCTTTTGACTTTTAATCAATATGTTTATAAATACATCCCAAAACATTTGATTAGCTATATTATGAGCAACAAGGCACTGCCTTGATAGCACAAGTTACTTATCCACCACCAGTGATTGAAATGAGGAGCCAGTACTTTCCATTAGACAGTACCAGCACTTTTCTTTTTGCCATTTCATGCACCGTCCACCACTATGCCAAGACACTTTTCTTCAGTCAGGCTACTGAATGGGTTCCCATCTATATTAAATGTGTGATTCAAATTCTGGTAACCCAAGTGCATTATCTTGCACTTACACTACAATCATTCACCAAATATTTGTCCAACTAACCAACTGATCCAAATCATCCTCAGGGACAACCCTGTGTTTTTTTAACTTTTGGCCAATGAATTAGCCAACCTGAATTTCTATTAGCCAAAGTTGATTAATATTAGCCAGTGCAAAATGACTAATGTGGTCATCAAAGATCATATGCACTTATTTAGTTTTCATATATATTTTTTATAAAATATATATATATATTTATTTATTTACTATGAGGAAGTAAATAAAACATTTTAATACTGATCAGTCTTTGTTTCTTATTACAATATCCTCAAACTGATAACATACATCATGTAGTTCACTAATGCTGTTTTGATGAGATTTTTTAAGGGTTTGTTTCATTACTGTATTGAAATATAAATATTTAAACAGCTTTTAGAAAACAACTAATACATGAAAAAAACACAATGTGTGTTAAAATTTAGATATACATAACGTTTATATACCTTTATAATAATTGTAATTATAGTTATTTTAAAGAGTACATTATCATATTTTGATGCCATTTCTTTAGTGTACATATAACTATTAGTACCTGATAACAGCACCTGTGACACCACCTTTCCCTCTCATAAGATAAGTTATATAAATTGTAATAGTTGAAGTAAGTAAATATTACACAAATGTGAGATTTCATGAAAACAAAGGAGGTTTTAATTGGATTTCAAAGTCATTGTTTGTTCAAAAAAACTTCAATTATATTTTCTTTTAATTAAGCTATTTTATTTTTTCAACCACTTTTTACTATCAAAAATCTATATCTATAAATATAGGCCTGTAAAAATCTTCATGATATTCCAGTTAACAGTGACACAGTTTGGGCCAGTACTTCACAGCTAGAATCATAAGCTTTATTGATTCTTTTGTTTGTGAAAGAAGTATTAAAACAGTTATTGCTATATTCCAAATACTCATACGAACTTTAGTAATTTTGTATTTTTATTTACCAACTACGTGGTAAGATTGCCAAATGTGAACTGGAAAGTGATCAGGGGGTCCCTAATTTTACAATATCTCAGTATCCTCAACATAGCTAGAAATACTCAACAGTTTAATGTCTTTGCCAAACTTTAACAATTATGCCCTTATCAGTATCATTAATGTTAATGACAAAAAGCAAAAGCTCAAGCACTGACCACTGAGGCAACCCACTAGTTTGACTGAACTTCATAAATAAGAACTTTTTGCTTTCTCTCACTCAGCTACCTTTCAATTAAAATTCAAATAGTCTTTCTCCAAATCCCATCAATGTGATTTGTTTATTTAATTTACAGATAAGCTGAAAACATTTACTTTTAGGTACAACTGTGGCATTCAAAAGATCCCATTTATGCATTGACTTTAATGTTGATATGAACACTTTTAAAAATTTTAATTACAAACATCCATCCAACAACCAGCAAATGACCAGTTACTCTCAATATTATCGGAACACTCTTTGTTACTTTTGTATCAAATTTTTGTTTGTTTCAAAATTTTATAAGGCTCTGATATTTTATATTGTTTTTACCATTCCAAGGATATTATTAAAACCATCATATAACAATTTATACAAGAAGACCAACTCATTGCTTACACTTATTAACTTTTTGAACACCCAAACCTTCATTTTGGAAAAAAATAAATGAAAGCTTTCATATATACACGTGTGCATGTTCACTGATACTCATTCAGTAAACTTAGAATCTACACAGTTGCTAAAAGTGTAAACAAGAATAACCATGTTTAACTCTTATTATTTTCTATAAATTAACATGTTTTCTTAGCAAATATGGATTTACCTAAAAATACCTCAAATTAACTTTCTAAAGTTGACAACTATTTATGGTAACTGATCTAATAGTCAAAAATGGGGTTCGCTAAACCTCTAACATTGTTAAGATTGATACGTGTAAATCTTTGTTTTATGGAAGATTATAACCTTAGAGGATACTAAATCATCAACCTAAGATAAAAAAAATTTGAAATGTTCACACACAGTTATGTCTTAAGCATCAATTATATACATCAGATTTGCATCAATGATCTGTACCTTTGCTAAATATTCAACTTACACTAAAGTAACTTAAATAATAAACTGTAAATAAAATCTCCATCCCCTAAAAATTAAATTATATTATACAAAATTCCAGCATAATAGAAAAACTTAAACTTTGACTTATTCTTTAAAAGGACTCAGTGAAAGATTGAACTATTATACACTTCATTGATTTACTATAAAAAATAAGGGTTCACAAAAATAAAAACATACAGTAGGATCCCTCTCCAGTACAATAAGATTGAAGCTTTCTGGTGCACGTTGCTTTAGCCAGTAGGCAATTGATGAACCCATTATTCCTCCTCCTATGATAGCAATATCAACTTCGGATGGAATTCTTTGTTCCCTAGAATTTATTTGACTATTTCGTATGTTCCATAAATCTTCTTTTAAAACACGGAAAGTTCTTTTGAAGGCAGATTCTCGTTCTTCTGTAGCATTTGGTGTCCAAGTTGTAGTAGTAGTAGTATTTTCAGCACTAATTTTGTGAGATTCTGAATCACAATCTTTAAATGCTCTAGTATTACTATTAGTGGCTAACTTGATTGATAATATTTTCCACACTGAGATTGGACTACTTACTGACAATGGATTGTAAAAAATATTCACAATTTTGGAAGAATGTCTAAAATTATGAAATTGTAATCCCAAAATAAAACGATTCATTTTCTTAAAACTAAAAGATCCAATTTTTTTTCCTATTATTACTAATAAGTAATACTATCTCACATTCAGAGGAGATCAAAACATGTGTTCCATTAAAACTTACAATATACAACTTGTTGTAATACAAGAAAGCTGTCTCTGTGCGTGTAATAAAAAGAAAAATGTAATATATGAACTTTGGTCTTCAATTACAACTTATTCAAAAACATATTTTGGGTCGTCAAAGGTGAAGCTTCGTACATCTTGATAATTCAACTGTTAACATGTGAAATTGAAGAAAGCCGCTAGGATCCTACGGATTCATCAATATTTCGTGAATTCATTATTTACGTAGCATAGAGGGAGCTATTTATAATTTTGCTTTTGGGAGAAAAATAATATATAATAATTAAATAAATCGTATGACTCCAAATCGATATAACAAAAACAGTTTTTTAAAGGCATGAAGTTAGGTGGCTCTATCCAACTCTATCAGATATCAAAGTATATTATAGAGCCATGTGAAAAAATACTTTAGGTCATATAGAGTCACCAGTATTGATTTAAGCAGAGTGTTTTGAAAGTTAAAATTTGGTTTTCTTACATATGTACTTGTAATAGGATACTATTTTAAGAGTCGAGTGTAGTGGACCTTTTAGTCTTTTAAAAATACTGGGATGGTTGTTCAAACCATCCACCCCCTCACCCTCTCTCCAACTATGCTGCTGCCTAAGAAAAGTGGAATGCACACATATTTTCAAATACACAAGTGGTGTTACACAATGCATTACAGATGAAGTCTAGTACGGTGTCAATGTGTAACACAGGAATGGAAATGATGCATGAAATGCAATGTTTCTTGCCCAAAATTCAGGAAACCTTAGCTCAAACAATTATGTAGTCATTGTAGTGCTCCGTAATTATGAACATTCGACTATTCAGTTTCCTAGTGGAATAATCATAGGTAAAGTAAGTGAAGTTGAAGTAACCCAAACTAGTGGTACTGCTGAGGTTGCTTTTGTTACATCACGTTATAGAGCAAATACACAACATAATATAATATTGAACGACAGTAAAGGACCATTTGGTCCATCTAGGCTGTCCTGTTTACTAGATTATACTAACAAATCTCAAAGCCAGCTTTCATCATTCAAAATGTTTATCAAACATTCCCTTAAATTATATATGCATTCACCACACCCAAAAGCAACCCGTTTCAAGATCAACCACCTTGTTAGAAAAATAAAGTTGTCTTAGCTGAAGATTTTTTCTTTTCCCTGCCAAATTTTATATCTGTGTCCCCTTGTCGTACCATTTTCACCATTAAACATGAAAAAAGATGATGTATCAACACTGTCAATTCCCTTAAAATTCTTAAATACCCCAATCAGATCCCCTTTAGCTCTTCTTTTTTCAAGCGAAAACAAGTTCAGAGATCTTAAACCATCCTTATATGATAACCTTTCCATCCCAGATATCACCGTAGTAGTCCTCCTCTGACATTATAGCCTCTTTAGGCTTGTATTCAATATTCCTGTAGGTACAACCTAAAATTGTATTTGCCCTGCCAGTAGCAATACCACATTGCTTGAACAGCTTACGAGACTGGTGAATAAGAACACCAAGATCGTTTTCTCCCATAACATTGTTAAGGTTATTCCCATCAACTCAAAATTCAAATTGTGATATCCCACATACATTACATTGCATTTATTATAATTAAAAGCCACCTGCCATATATTCACCAGCATACTCGAGTGTGCTAGTTAATGATTTTGCAAGTAATCTAGATTCAACAAAGTGGTTGATGCTCAGTGATTTGTTGGTTTAGTATGCCAATGTGTTCATGGGACCAGTTGGTCAATTAGTATTAACAATAGTAGATTGCCATTACCTAGATGCATATGCAATACAACAACCACTGTGCACGCTTCCCTTGAGCACTAAGGATATAGCCAGAGCTGAAATATAACAGAATCTTACAATCTTCAGAGAATGTGATGTCAACTGCAGTAGTGACTTAAGAAATAAGAAGGGTATGCCAACATTTTCGACTCCACTGGACAGATGAGTCTATGGGTGCATTGGAAGATGCCAACTGGTTCAGGATTTTTTGAATACTGATAAGTCAAATTGAATGACAAAAGAAGACCAAAAACTGTTTTCAGTACTCGAAGTGTTTTGCATGAGCTCTGTGTCATGCCATTCAGCCTGTGTAACACACTCGCCATTTTTCAAGAGGTTAATGGAGCATACACTGAGATGATTGCAATGGGAGAAGTGTCTGATTTATTTCAATTATATTATGGTGTTCTGCTGCATATTTTAATCTCCTGCTCTAAACCTGAACATGTTATTTAAGTGGATATAAAAGACAGGCATTATGAACAAGGAACAAATGGAGTTCCTTGGTTATATTGTGTATATAGATGGGTTTCTATGGACCCTGCAAATACTTAAGTGGTACAAGACTGTCTTCAACCCATGACGAAACTAGAGATCTGTAGTTTCCTTGATTTTACATCATTTATTGTTATTTTGCATCCATAATTTCACATATTATTGCACCATTATCTACTCTCAATACAGCTGATTCACATTTTAGATGAAATGAAGACTGGCGAAGCATTTCAGTTGTTAAAATTTGGTTTACTTGAAGCTTTGGTATTTGCATACCTAAAACAATTCAAATTCCAGTCAATATAAATGATAACATGTTAGTTTAGTTCCTCTTTGACGTTTTTACAAGCTTAAACATTGCAAAAACCATTTAACAGTGTGCAGTTGTATCTCTCCACCATGAAGTCGGAAGATACATGAAGGTCCATTGTCCTGTTCTTTTTTATTCTAATGATTAGACACATTTCCACAAGTTAGTCTGGACCTGAGTGAAGTTTCATAGGCACGCCAAATCTTGAGACAAATTCGTTGATGAGTTCCTTCCTCGAGTTTTTTTTACTTCCTGGTTAGGAAAGGCTTATACTTCTGAACATTTGACAAAATATTTCATCACGACTATGATGTATCTGTTCCCATACTCAGTGACAGAATACCAAGCACATTAATAGCAACCACCTCCAATACTGTTGTAGTTGTCCGTGCTTTTTCTTTCATGGAGCTTTCTTCTCACAGCAGAATTCACATCAATTGTCCACAACCCCAGGTATGCAAGCCAGTAGAAGCATTCACTGACTTCTTAAAATCTCTCCAGTTTCTTTTTAACATCTAAATTACCAACCATTGGATGTTTGGGGAGATAAACGAGTGCTTAAGAATGTGGAAGTACCAACTGAGGTCGTTGCTTTTGTCCACTAGTATATTCCCATCTTCGACATATCAAGCCTTCATATAAGCATAATGAATTCGCTGTGCCAAATAAATATTTGTCTTTGGTCTGTATGGAGGAACTGTTTGCCATGAGGATTTTCTGAACTATTATTGAGCCAGTGAATAAATAGTTTTAAACTTGTATCTTTTGCCTGAGCATTTTTCAGATTAATGTTGGACCACATCACTTTCTCACTACCACATGTGGATGATACGTCTTGCACTACAATTTGCTGTACTTTAGGTTTGAAGTCTTTTCAGTCTTGTGGATCCCTTTTATAACAATGTTTTCCAGCTTCATTAAAACATGGTTTCCAGGATAATGCATAAGAATTTCTGTTGTTCTGTCTGGGGTGATGCACAATGTTAAACTTTTGGTCCTGAAGTTTATGAAGCCATTTTGCTATTTAGCCTTCTGGGTTGTGATAATTCACCAGTTACTTTAATGCTGCGTGATCTCTCCGGATTATAAACGTTTGTCAATATAGATAATGATGGAAGTGACTTAGGGCTCGAACAACACTTAGTATCTCTTTTCGGTTGTATAATACTTTCTTTCTGCAGCATTCATTGTCTTGCTACAGTAGGCAAGCACATCATCTACTCTGTGTTCTACTTATGATAAAACTGCTCTCACTGCAAAATCACTGAAATCTGTGTTTAAAATGAGTGGATATTCTAGAGTTGGATATACTAATACAGATGTAGTGATCAATTATATTTTCAATTTGTTGAATGTTTGTTCACAATCAGCATTCCAACAGAAATTATATGACTATGCCAGATAAATATTTACAAAAAAATGCTAGTGAGATGATAATTCAAGAAATCCCCTTACCTCATGCAGGTTCTTTGATGTTGGCCAATTATGGGCAGAATCATTCTTCAATTGATCTTTAGACACTCCTCCGCTTCTGTGTTTTCCAGAATATTCAGCTTTTGAAAGTATAATTCGCACATCACGGGATTCAGCTTAAATTCATCTTTCCTCAACCAATCTAGAATCTTTCTTAGTCCTTCATAAGCATTATCAAAGGTCGTTCCATGTGCATTTATGTCATCCAAGTAACTAAGTGTGGCACAACTTTGCAGGGTAGTTCAGGTAGACCACACTCCATTAGTTGTTGGAATGCAGCAAGTGCATTACATACTACAAATGGTAAGATGACAAGTTATTTAATCCAATTGCTGTGGTAAATTCTGTCCTTTCTCTACTTGCTTTGCCAATATCCACTCTTAATATACAATGTTTAAAACCATTTAAATTTAGATCGGGCATCCAAAGTAAAGTTATTCCATGGCAATGGGTAGCCATCCTTCTTTTTAACTTCATTCTCCTTCTGGTAATCCATAAGGTGCCTATGGATCCATTTTTCCTTTTTACAAGTGACGCCCAAGGACTAGTGTTTAATTTTACCACTTCTTGTTCCTTCATGGCTTCTATCCCTTTAAAAGCCTCAGTCTGTTTTGCAAATGGAAGTCGCCTGGCTAACTGGTTTATTGGAACTGCATCTCCAATATCATAATCCCCGATCTTCAACATTTGAAGTTATTCTTCAAGTATATTCAATGCTGTATATTATTTTCACTAAAATATTCCTACTTTTGACATCAGTACTGTAACGTCGTTTTTCCCAATGTGTAGCTTTACACTTAACAACAAACAAACAAATACTTGTAAATGAACTTATGGCAGGATTGTTTAGATATTTTTGACCATTCTTCAATGCAATATTATTCCAGTTCATTCAAATTCTGTTGTACAGCTTTCTTCAACTCATTACAAAGATTCTCAATTGGATTTAGATTGGGATTTGGACTAGACTTTTCCAGAATGTTGATCATCTTTATATTTAACCATTCTGATGTGGCTTTTGATGTGCACTTTGGATTATTGTCATGTTGGAATGTTCAGTTTTGCTACCAAGTTTTGTTGCAGAGGATTTCAGATGATTGGTCAATAATTTTTGGCATGCTATAGAATCCATTTTACAATGTATAGGAACTA